ATATGTAGCAGTAAGTTAAAGATAGATATCTTGAATTCAATTTTCTTACAAAATGATCTTACAAAAGAATTTAGTTCTTTACCTCAATCTATTACACGCTATGATAGATAAGGGCATTATTAAAATATCTTTCACATCAATGGAAACTGCAGATTCATATTAGTCTATCCTAGTATCCTTTTCAATATGCGCGTCACAAAAACTAAATATAAAATACATATATATATTCTGATGATAATACCATAGTTGATCTAAAACAAGTTCAACACAGTGACATGAGGATATTATAATTTTGTTAATCAGTATAATTTCGATACGACTTATAGACATATGTATTTAGAATGGTTTTTTTCAACGAATAAGACGTCGTTTTGGTGGTAATAATTCAAATAAACAAAAAATTACATCAAGTGTATCGAAACCTGATGAAGACAAAATGGGTAATTTTGAAAAAATTCATATTTTATGGTCAGCACCAATAACGAAATTTTATACCAATTTTGTTGCTTATCTTGCATTTTTACTTTTTTTTACATTGGCTGTGATGTGGCCATCATGTGGACATGTATTACTTGATTGTGTTGTTTGGTTTTGGGCAGCATCGATTGCTTTTGAAAATACACGTGTTGCTTATGAAAGATCTTGTGTAAGATTAATATAACGAAGATAAAACTAGATGGATTTAATTATTTGAAATTTTAGTCTCAAAGTAATTTACCTTTGCAACAAGCAGTATTTGAAGTTATTCTACAAACTGTATTCCTAGCACTTTATCTTGGTGTTAGAATTATTGGTTTATGGACTTTTGGAAGTAAATCGATTGACTCGAGAGAAACATAATTGAAATTATCGGTTTTTTTTTCTTGTTCCTTTTAAATAGCTTGTCACATTTTAGCAGCAAAAGCAATCTTAGGTGTCGGATTAATTTATTATTATTATCGAATGTTATTCATATTTTTACCGATAAGTCCAACGCTTGGTCCGATGATGATTCGACTTCAACGTATGGTAATTTCTTTATTAATTCTTTTATCTATTTTTTTTTTCCTGAGAAAATATAATAATTATAGGTAATGGACGATTTCGTTACATTTTTACAATTATTTATGATATTTATGATATCATCAGCTGTCGCAATATCAGGTGTACTTTATCCACATCATCCACTTAATCTAGATTTTTTTACAAGAACTTTTATATTTCGTGGTTTAATGGCATTATTTACTAGTGAAATGGCTGATTTCAAAAAGCAACCATATCCATGTTCACTAAATGCAACAAGTCCAAGAGAAAAAGAATATGCTTGTCTACGATTATCTCATGGCCTTTCATTTAGTTGTAAGAATGTTTTACTTTGTTTTTCAAAGTTAAAAAACACATTTTGTTTTTGAAATCAAGATGATAATATGCATACATATCATCGATATGGAATACCATTACCAACATGCAATCGACCATCATGGATAGCATGGTTTTTACTTATACAATATTTCTTTTTGGCTAAACTTTTTCTTACAAGACTTTTAACAGCTATGTTTGGGTATATTAATTAAAATGAAATTAATTTAAAATTTAGATAATTTAAATGTTTTTGTTCTTTTCTTTTTCTTTTTGTCGTTAAATTAGTTTAACTGGAGCAAGAGTACAAAGTCAATCTGAACAAATCTGGATGTATAATCGATATGAAATTGTTATGGAATATGCTAAACGACCACGTTTACCACCACCTTTTGTTGTTCTTTCTTATATTAGTAATATAATTTTATATATGTTTTGATTCGTAGATTATATATTTCTGAAGTTTACTTATATTTTGTAGCAAAAGTTTAGTTTTAAAGTCAAGTTTAGCTAATATTAGAGTTTATCATCATCAATACATCGATATTTTGATATATTATTTGTTACCTGATAAAAAGTATCACACTAAAGATATTTTTATTTCAAAAAAATTCATAAAGATTATTGATATATCTTTCTAGATTTTCATAGAAATTCTAGTAAATCATTTTCTTACTCATTTACATTATAGATTAAATCCTGTATGCGTAGTATAAAATCTATTATAGTTTGTAAGAGAGATCTCCAAGGGGGAAACGGCGGATTCCGGATTCCCAGGATTCCCACGGGATTTCCAGGATTTCCACGGGATTCTCGGGATTCCCATGGGATTCCTGGGATTCTCATGGTAATCCTGGAAATCCCATGGTAATTCGGGAATCCCGTAGGAATCCTGGGAATCCCGGGAATCCGCCGTTTCCCCCTTGATTTTGAGAGTCTTGTTCTAATTCTCCAAGTTCTGAGTCAACTTCTTCGTCATCATTGTCATCACTAGTATGTTTGGCCTGTTTATTTTTGATGATTACTTTATCTATTGATGACTCTTAGGCACAGGATTCCCTGGATTCCTAGGATTCCCATGGAATTCCCGGGATTCCCTGAATTTCTAGGATTCCCATGGGATTCCCGGGATTCCCAGGATTCCAATGGGATTCCCTGGATTCCCTGGATTTCCAAGATTCCCAGGATTTCCATGGGATTCCATTGGGATTCGGAATCCCGGGAATCCGCCGTTTCCCCTTTGGAGATCTCCATCTAAAACTTGTATTTTCAACAGAATTTAAAATTTAGCTTTTTTTTTTTAAATTTCTAATCATATATAATTATTTTTTCCTTTTATAATAGTTATGTTAATAAACAGTTGTAGTCGTCGTTGTATTCTAAAAGCTAAAGAATATTCTGATAGCAGAAGTTCTGCTACATGCCAAAGTCGTAGACAATCATCAGCAACAGGTATTCATATCTTTTTTTTTTCTAACAGTGAATATTGTACTAATAATCAAAATTTACTACATGATTTGTTTCAGAAACAGATAATCATGGTGATAATAAAGATGGTTCCAAGAAACCACCAACTGAAATAATCCAAGATCATTCATTACTAGGACGTTGTCTTAGTTGTAAACCATGTAAAACAGTTACAGACAATGAAGAAAAGAGAACTGTATGTAACATAAAAATTCTTTTATATTTGATAATTGAATTGAATCTATTCTAGAATAAGAAGAATCGTAATACGGAAGATAGTGAAGCTAATCTATATTGGAAATATAAAGCTCAAGAATATTATGCTAAAACACAAGAAGCTGATAAAGTACAAGAAAAACTTAATAATTTATCAAATTGGTAAAGTGGAATTCGCATACGTTTTTTTTTTGTTTTCTTTATTTTATTAAAATTTGATACAATCAATTTTAGTGTAACAAATATACAAAAAGATATCGATGGACGACAAAAAGCATTACGACAAATAAATGATCGTGTTGGATCATTAGATAGATTATTGATTGATTCACATATATTACTTGAAAAAATTCGTTCAACAATTGAACAAGGAGATAAATCATTGCCTGAAGCTGAAAAATTTGTTCATATTTTATCAAGAGAATCACCATATATTTATACCAATGAATCACGATTTCCAGTTACAGAAAGGCATATACCTTGGAAGGTTATTTTTAATACTCGTTCTTTTTTTTGTATTTGAGATCAACTGAAAAAAAACTAAAATTTTTAGGTTCAATTTGATTTATATGATCCAACCGTAATTTCATTACCAAAAGATCATGTTTGTTTTAAAGCTAGTGAACAACCATTTATTGAACCAGATTTGTAAGTTTGGTTTTATTTAATTAAATAAATAAATAAATAAATAAATATGAAAACTATTTCAGATTAAAATCAACTACGAATGATGATTATACTGTTGATGATGAAGATGAATCACCAATGGCTCCTGACGAAACTGCTACGCCATTAGTTCCTATAACTCAACCAGATTTATTTGAAGCTATTGAAGCACCAGTGACAACAGTAACAAATGATATTATTATTCCATTCACAGACTTCAAGTGGAATCAAATTGATGAATTACAGTTGTCCAATGGAAAAAAGGTTGTTGCTTTTGTTTTTTGTTTTAAATGAAATTATTGAATTCATAGTTTCAGATCATCATTGATCGAACAACTTGGATAATAAGTTCTGAAGATAAAATAGCTCCAGCTTATCAATTAGATACTCAATTATCAATACCTTTGTATATAAATACAATTAGAAATCTTTATATATTTCAATACGAATATTTTTTATGAATATAGGAATCCAATGGGTCGTACAGGTGTACGTGGTCGTGGTGCCCTAATTCGATGGGGACCAAATAAATCTATTATGGCTGTAATAACACGATGGAAAAGACATCTTGGTGAAATTGCTATTATTGATGGACAAAGAATTTTAGAAGCTTTAATATTTAAAGATAAATTGACCAATAATTGGAAATTACCTGGAGTATATTTTGTTTTTCTAGTATTAATTTCGAAAAAGTTGTTTTGTTTTTTTTATTTTTAGGGAAAAATTTTAGGTATTGAATCTCCATATGCTGCTACATGTCGTAGTTTTAATAAACTTGCTTTTCAAGATTATGATTCTGACTTCAGTTTAACAGTACAAGAAAAGGATATGATTGACGTAAAATTTTTTAAATATGATTTTTTTTTTTTTTTGTAATTAAAATTAATTTATATTTAGTACTTTCGATCATTTGCTCGTTTTTCGTTCAGTACTGATGACTCAACTGAATTTGAATCTAATATGGTTTATCGAGGTAAATCGAAGAATTTTTCTTTTTAATTATTTTAGTTTATTTATTATTATTTTAGGATATATTGATGATTTGCGTAATACAGATAATGCTTGGGCAGAAGCAGAAATATGGAATTTTCATTATGGTTCAGACATATCATTTCCTAATTTGCGTACAGATGTATGTTTATTATTTTTAATCTAAAAAGAAAACGATTATATTAAAAATGTATTTATTTAGGGTATGGCTATATGGAAAGATGTGACGAATAATTCTCGAGGTTTTCTTATTCAAACATCAATTTTACGTGAAATAGCTCGAATTCATGATGCTTATTTTTGAGTGAACAATTATCATAATATATTTCATTTTATATCGTAAATGTTATTCATTCTTTTCATAAAACTGTATGACTTCTTTCTCTCTTTCTCTTTATATCTCTTCTTGCATGATATAACATGTCTCCTCCTTTTACTTCAGCACAAATTTTCTGCCACCAAAATGGTCAATATTTTAAATGCAAAATCTACATTAATTATTTATAGAAACTTCTATCCTTTCTGACAATTTGTTAAACACGTCTTTTTGTTAATTGCAGTGCATGAATGATTTCAGTGAAAACCGCATCTTGTTTATATTGAGAGCGCACTCAAGCCGCCTGTATCATCTACTCTGGCCCTGATTGCTTGGTATTTGAGTTTGATTATTTATTAAAGATAGCGTCACGAAAACAGTCATTAGCTAAAAGTTTTAAAAAATAGTAAAAAAATATGGCGGCATTGTAGAGACACACTATACTTTGGCACATTCGAATCGTCGGTCTTGATAAAAAATCAATGACATAGATTGTAAAATTACGCGTGATACAATCATTTAATCAAACATCACATAGTACAATGTCTGATACAAACAGTAGATGCGACATGATGTTGATAGTCTCTGAAATCAAATAATCACTAACATCTGAACGAGTATAAGGCTGAGCATTGTCATAAATTAATTTTATATCTTTTACACTAGATAACTGCGTCTGTTTCCATATTTCATAGACAGCAAGCTTGAAGCGATTTTCATTATAATAATTGTGATCTACAATCGTAACTATATCTACACTACATATAAGAAGAGAACTATTTCATTTATAGAATATAGAAAAGAAAGTTTTTAGTTCAAATCGACTTCAACGAACAATAATTGTTGATGATTCAACTTCAATTAATCCAGCTTGTATTAGTTAAACTGCGTCTAACCTATGTATGATAAATCCATGTTTGATCATCTGTAATAATATTATATACTTGTCATGATTCATTACAAAAGTTAAGTTGAATGTGAATCATTGTTGATAACCTATCGTATCAGTTAAATATTTACGTCTGTCAACTTGGAAAGCGAAAGATCAGGTCGAGAATCATAATTAAAATCTTCTCTAACTTCATGAAAATGCTTTAATCATATTGCTACATCTGTTCTCAGAATAGTCTGAATTTCAAAATAATATCGATTAAATTCATCAGTCACTTTTCAAATTGTTTTTTTTTAGTAGGAATCGGATTATGTTTACAAGAATATCGGAACTAAGCCCAAAAAAGATTTGTACATATTATTATAGACAAGACATTCTCTTATGTAGTCATATAATAAACTCTTTACTAGTAGCTAGTTTATAAAAATTGTCAGCAATGTTATTCGAACTTATAGTCAGATCCAAGTACAACCGAAGTTATCGTTACAAAAATGGCTAAACGTCTTTATTTGCTTGAATGAGAGTTCCAACCATTCGACAATACTATTTTTAATAAATAATTTTATCATTTTATTTTGAAAATATTCGACTGATTCCTGTATTCACTGTCCGTATTTGTTCTCATTTTCATCACTACTGAACACCTGAACAGCATCCTTTAGTTTATTCGACTAGAAACATCCATCAAGGATGTAGGGTGTGGGTGACAATGATGATGTGGCCGTGTGTATATCGGTTGGGTGCGGGTGTGAGTATGGGTGTAGTTGTGACTTTTAATTTAGTGAAAATCCACACCCACACACTCTCCGTATATTCCTCATTAGATGATATTTTCAACCGATCACTTGTAGAGTAATCGTTTTCTACAATGAATCAGTCATAGAAAAGTTGTGCGGCATATTCGTAATAACATTTTCCAATTCGGCAAGCTGAAGAAAAATAAAAATTCATGATGGAGGCATTGAAAGAAAATAGAAATTTTTATGAGTTTTATTTGCTTGATCTTCATTGACAATGTGTTTTTGCTTTTTATGGATCGTTGTCTCTTTATATTAATATATTGCATAGAATATCTTGGTTTTGTATAATTTTCATTATTATTGCATCGCTATTCTGAGGAAACAATTTCAAGTTCACAAAAATTGGTTAAAATGATTGAACTGTTTATGAACACATTGAAATGCATTCTTAGTTTTTTTTTCTCAGTTTTTATTTGTTTAACTTTTTTATCCTTATACTATTCCAGTTAACTATCTCGTTTGTTCCTGTGATCTGCTCAATCAGTCATGTAAATATTAAATGATTGCATCATTTTTCATATATCAGTCACCAATTGTCTTTTCACAGTTTTTTTTATTTCTATCCAACACATAATATGACAAATGTGTTTTTGAACTGATTGCATTTTCCCTTCGTATAGACTATCTGGCCATCTACTTCCCCTCATTTTCCTCTTTCTTGTCAAAAGTAATGTGTACAGAGAAAAACTTAGCATAGATAAAGTTTTTCAGTAATAGTAGGTTCATGTATAATAGTGAACACTAATTTTAGTCTTGTTTTTCTTTTTCACATCGGGAAAATGCTAAACCTATGAAAAGACTCTATGCAACCATCTTAGATAGAAGAAGAACTAAAACGATACTAAGTTGCAACAAGATAAGCAAGCGTAGTTAAATATGATGAAAAGTAATCGATTGAATTTCAATCAACTTTTACAATATCCATAGCTGGTAGTAAAGATAAAAATAAGTTTGATAGATTGTTTGACATAATACGTAGGTACAATAAATGATTAATACATGGATTTAATCATATGAAATTAAAATAAAATAAATAATAGTGCAACAATCTATTTTTTATTATAATCTGGATGTGGGATGGGGGTGAGGTGTGGGGGTGGGGTGTGGGGTGTGCGTGTGGGTTGGTGTGTGAGTGTAGATGTGTGCTCTAACTGACACACCCATACTCACACACACACCCATATGCACACCCCACACCAAAAACTTTCGGCTTTTCGTAGATTTGTAGACACTCAGATGATGATTCTAGTCCACGTCTCAAAACTTAAAATTCATTCTATCTTCATAGAACGACAGCGTATTC